ACATTAAGACTAAGGTTACGTTTCGTTTGAATATTTCAAAAATAGTCACTAACCATTACCTTCATATTTAGTCCATTGTTTAAGTGCCAAATCTGCACTTTCTGCAAGTTCGTGAAAGTATTTGTTATAAATCTTGTCAGTTGATAATTTGCGGATGTATTCTATTGATTCTTCAAGCTTTTTTCGTATACCTTTGTTCTATTAAGAAGTGTAAACTTACATTAAATGAAACTGTAAAAAACCCATAATATTTATATCCACTTACGTAAATATAATTCGCAAGTTTATTAACACGAAATAATAGTACATATGTCTGAGAATCATAATATGCATTTACAGATGGAAGTTGCTTTCGTGGTAACGCAAGTCTAACTAATCCGTTAATGTCAAAAACTTGAAATTTTGAAGCATAGTGAGAACCTTGTATCTTGGATATTTCGGAACGTGCTGATAATTCATATATATATCCTAACTTTTCCTCAATATTTTCGAATAAACTTTTCAAATCGTCTGTTATTTAACATAGGTATGAGTTAATTGACCAAAAATGGAAAAAATTATAAAAACAGCTATAAAAAAGGGACTAATTTATTACGACTCACTTACCGGTGGCAATCTCTCTCTCTCCCTCCCTTTCTCTCTCTCTCTCTCTAACAGGTTGCTCTACAATAAAGCGAATGTGTTTTTGGCGGGTTTGACGATAAGAAGCAGGAAAAAAAGCACAAAATTAGGTGAGTATTCGTTATTCTTGATAAATATTACAGAGAAAGACGAAAATTTAAGTCTACACTTTTGTGTGAATACATACCAGTTCCAAGTGTTTCTGAAAAAGTTACCAAGTAATTACGTTTCTTTTCATCCGTATCAAAGAGAGCCAGGGCATCATTCACCTGATTTGTTAGATTAGCATTCGAACTAATGTGAGTAATTATTTTAGTAAATTTCTCTTCAGGTAGCTCTCGAGTAAGGCGTTTTATCTCTTGATAGATAGGGAACATCTCTGTTTTTTGGAAATTAGTAATACAAATTGTACAACTCAAGAAAATGCGAAAATGCAGAAACGGGTTAAGTTGTCTACAAATCATGATTTACAATACTTTATATAAAAAAAAAAAATTGCTAAACTTTGATATCGTCACAGTTATTGACGCAAATGCGAAAAAAAATATATACACAAAAAAAATAAATCTATATGAAATGCTTTACAAACAAATCTATACTACAAACGAGAACTTGAATTTATTGCTTGTAATATTCCACGGCTGAGCAAATGCAAATTATAACATCAGAGTCTTGAGGTTTTGCTGACATACTTATCACAGCTTTTGATAATTGCCTATGCTTATGTCCAATTTCTTTTTTATACTTTTTATAAAGTTGAAACGAATCTTATCTATCAAAATACCAGTTAATTTGGGGTTAATATTTGGTCTATATATTCATGTTTCCATTTTATATGATCCAATTGTTTTTCCTAAGGGATAAAAGAAGTTTATTGCCTACAAAGATCCGTTATTTGATACTATATTTTTTGGAAGTATTATTAACATGA